CAAGGAAATATATTACAGCCATTTCCCACCGTATGGGATATATGTTATGGGCGTCGATCCTCAATCATAACCCAATCAAACTCCTACTTAAGAATATTCAACTGAATCCACAAGCACATCAAGTTGAATCTAAAGTGGCGCACACGCACAAATGCGTGCCCATCGTCTTGACCAATTGCAAATCAGTGCAAGAGTACTCAGCATACCTGCATCAGTTGGTGCAGCGGTTAGACTCTGCGCTCAGCCAACAAACCACATGATGCACACGCGGACGTGAAAACAACACGTGAGCTCAGTCATTGTAGAATGCGGTGCGGACTAGCACGCGGCATCTATGGTTGAGGAAGTACTGTAGCTCCCACCCACCCACTTATGCGGCATCAAGACACACAACATAGAAATGAGGGGCCGGAGATATTCCATCCGCGTTCACAGTGCTCCCCGTTGCGCGCAGAGGACCGGAGGTGAAATGTGTTCCACAATGAGACAGTATCGATTGCCTACACTGAAGGTAGCTGCATCCAAGCTAGCAGACATGTACGTCAACTTCACATGGTTTGACCTATGCTTAGCGGTGTCTACGTGTGATCGATTGTGGATAATATTGCCCAGGTGAAATAATGTGTGCGATGCTTCACCACACGCTATTATGGAACAATGCGTTAGTAATCGGTGGGTGTGGCCGAAGTATCTGTTAATCATGAAGTTATCATCAGCACCTGCACAGCAATGTCTGATGTACTGCAGCGAGCTTTGCGGAAGCGTACCGCGTAAATTGTGATAACGTTACCGGGTTGGCAACAGCTTGCATTTACTGGTCTATATGCAATCGTTCGTATATTGTAGCCGTTGAGATAGGGAACGAATAGGTTTGTGAAGAAATGTCATGAGTTCGTGTGGGACGAAGATGAAAAGATGATTTATGTTAACGTTAGCGCAATCCTCACCAAGGTGCCAAAATGCGACGCACTGGGTATGGTGAACCGCTGTTTGAACGAAGAGATAAACCTAGGGAGTGGCCGAAGCTGAAGGTAGTTGAAACAACCGAAATTGAGTCGTATATTGTTTTAGCTCGGGTTTCAGTCGGAAGTAGGCACTCAAGAACATGGTGATATTAGATTGTCAATGTCCACTATTTTGTACATAATACTGGCAAACTCCAGTAAATGGCCAAAATTTGTTGAATGGCACTTTTTGAACATAAAAGTGGATAAGAAAAGCTAGTTTTTGAGAAATCTGAAATCGCTCACCATGGAGTTGCACATCGTCATTCCTTGACTGCTCTGTTTGCAAGAATGATTAGCTTCCAAAAGGACATTTCCTCAATCACCGGACACAGATGGGGCACAGCACTACAATTCCGGTCTCTGTGTTTCACAGATAAGGCCATGTGAACATCCTACGTGCTCTATACTCGAACACTACAGGCCGCGTCAGGGTCTACGGTGTCCTGTCGGATAGCTTTCCGACCACAAGTGGCGTTCGTCAGGGTTGTCCGATTTTCCCATTTTTGTTTAATTTCGTCGTGGATTCTATCACGAAGTGTTCCATTGCGGTATCTCACGATGTAAGCGTTGAGGTCCTGTATGGTGAAAGGTTAGTTGATCTTGATTATGCGGACGATATAGTCTTGCTTTTCGACGATGTTGCGGCGGCACAATCAACCCTGAATAGTCTGTTTAGAGTGGTCCCATTATTTGGCATGAACTTTGCACCTTCGAAGTGCAAAGTGTTGCTGCAGGACCACCAGCCACTTGATGACCACTTGACCCTTGCTAACGAGAAACTCGAGGTGACTGATCGATTCACTTAGTAGCTGTATCAGCGACGATGGGTGCAAAGAAACTAAAGTCAGTTCACGCATTGCAAAGGTCAGAACTGCCTTCTTAAACCTGTGGTATCTTTGGCGACAGAAGGGACTTTCCCGCAGTCTGAAAGGCCGCGTATACAAGTCCACAGTGAGGGCCGTTCTACTCTATGGTAGTGAGACTTGGCGCTTTCGTTCCGATGATCTCTGGTGCCCTCAAGTCTTTGATCATCAGTGTCTACAGAGCCCTGTTGGTGTCGGATGACAGCAGCATGTCCGCAGCGATGATGTGCGTAGGCAACTATTAGGCAGGGATAACCAAGCTAGATCCTTAGAACAACAGATAGGTCGCGTTTGCCTTGAGCGAGAACTACGTATGTCTGATCAGTGCTTACCTAGGATGGCCTTGTTTAGACTGCCAGGTGTAGGGTGGCACGAAGCTCCAGGTGGAGAGAAGTTGAATTGGCAGCGTGAAATGAAGTCACTGCCGACCAAACTGGATGCCGTTGGTACATCTAGTCTTCCAAGCTGGAGTTCACGTGACTCGACTTGTGCTTGGCTCGAGACTTTACAGCACATGGCTCGCAACCGACACCAGTGGCGCGTCTGCTGCCGTCTCTGAATCCCATTGCCTGTTTAAAGTGTGTTCGCTGCTGAGTTATCTGTGGGGTAACGACTACTTCTAAAGCGGGGTAGTGAAGGACGCAAGGAAGCTGTCTCGCCGATGCAGCTTTATTTTTGCAAGATAGCCAGCTGTTTGCGAGGGTATGTTGTCCACGCAAGGTGCAGGCGCCTTGACAGTGAATGATTGCCTAGGGCAATAAGGTTTTCAGGTAAGTCCCCCTTCTCACGCTCTTATGATTCTAGATTTCATAGGTCATCATGGTTGTATGAGAGCGAACCATCATTTCAAATGACCGATGTACTCCTCCTGTTGTTGTTGCCCTATGAAAACTTAGTCTGTTTTCGAAACTACTCCACAGTTTTTGAAAAAAAACAACATACTTTCCTCTTTTGTCCTTATCATTATTCTCAAAATAATTTTTCAATTTACTTGGTCGCATACTTTCATTCGTAAGAGCGTTTTGACAAATTAAACACATAGGTTGAGTGGGGTTTTGAGGTGATGCGAGAAATCCAGATGACAGGTAATCCACGAAGAACTGCCGATGAGCTAATTTCTAAAATATCTCGTTGGAAATGGTTCGTATGTAATAAAATGTTGCATTGTTATTGTTTTATTTTTCCTACATAGTTTTATCATTGGTATTAAATAACATCCTTCGACAAGTCGAAACACACCGATGGTATGCATTTTTGGTGCCACTCAATTTGTTCTTGCTTGATCGTCAGATTCAAGGATAAGACATTTAGTAAGTATACTTGTAACACCTGTTGGTGGCTACAGTTTTAAAGTGTAAAAACACTGTTACAGGCAACCCAAACGTGGTTACTAAGAATGCTATTGCAATTCCCGTGGAAAGCTAAATGGACTGAAGCAAACTGCCTGAAAGCATACAATGAAGAAAACAAATGAAATACAAACAATGACAATGCTCACTGGACACATATTCATTACAGGAAAATTAAACCAAACAGTGACAACAGCTAAAATGAAGGACAGAAGAGACGAACACGGAAGAGAATGCCGGATAGTTTAAGAAACCGGCACAGTCGAGTCCACAACGAAACTAAAAACGCACATAGCCTGTCACCTAACATGGTGCAAAATGCCTTTTGGAAAGGCATTAGATTATGATAAATAATAGGAGAAGTATCCTCAAGTACACATTATGTTGCATATACTCACCAAAGAAACCGAATATCCATACGTATGATGAAGTTGACAAAACTGCTCACCAATTTGAAAAGTTCAACTGAACTGAGTATGAAGGCGTTATTACGCTTCCTGGCTGTTAGTCGGAACGAACGAACCTTCTTTAGAGATAGTACCCCACGCGCGCCAAATAGCCATTCGAATTTGGAACCTTGCGAGCTAACGTGAGCTAGCCACCTGACAAACCTGCGATATGAGACTGGAGACGAAAAGCGCGTAACTTTTAGCGCTACCGCATTGAGACTCGAACGAGAAAGACTGACCGGTAAATGAGTTGTCATACAGTGGTAGTGTCCTGAGGAAAACTCAGTGTCAGTGTGGCTGTGCGGTAACTGCCGCAGTGTTCTGACGAGAGTTGGCTAGTTTCACTGTAGCTTGCACCGTGGATGGATCCGTGTACTGAGTGAAACTCAGATGGTTCACTGTGGATAGACATCAAAGTCCCGAGGACGAATCGGTTGTTATGTGCGCAGTGTAAGTCGCCGTATGGTAACCGTATGTTTGAGGTGAGCCCAGCGGAATTTGCGCAAGTTTGGTGGAGCTATGCCAGCTCCTCAACAAAAAGTATGCCCGATCTGGCTTTCATACTTTTGCAAGCGTCCACTTGCGCGCACGCAATTTACTTCACTGACCGGTAGCTACCAAGGTAGATTAGTGCGCGCCGGTGGCCGAGTGGTCTGCACGTTTGCTTTGCAACCATAAGGTCACCGGTTCGAATCCACGAAAGGGGGGGGGCGTTCTAGCGGTATACTCAGCCCGCGCGCGACTGGTGGTGGGTGCGCGGCAGCGAAGCGCCGTGACGGCGTACAGCTGACGTATTATTATTATTATTAGGTTAGTGCGCGGAAAGAAACTATTGGAAAATGTTTTAAAAATGATTTTTTTTTCTCGTGTTATCGCAACCCAGTTTTCGGAGCATGGTTCCGTATGGCCGCACATGGCCCATCTAGAATATTCGCATATTCCAAATCCCCCGGGAATTCTCTGTGGCCCCCAGGGGGCCACATGACCCCCGTTGAGAATGACTGCTCTAAAGTATGCGGCATACCAAATGAGAACGCAGTGGCTGTCATACAAGAGCACAGCCGCGCAACCACTCTCAAGGGCAGTGCGTTTAAATCAGCATGTTCAATAACAGAAAGGAGATAAGGGAAAGTAAACCAAAGGAAGAACTACGAGAGCAACAAGTTGAGTTCGAGAGATCAAGGAACGCTGGTTGGTCGCAAAAGGCAAGCAATCATGGTGAATGAAGATAAAGCATAAAAGCACCGACTCAAGCAAGGGAGACATAAATGGGGAGACAAAAATGAGGGAAAAGATGACCAGGAGCAAGTAAGAAGCTGAGCTGTCACTCACCGAATGTAACAATGGCAATGAGCACAATTCACCGTTGACGGGACAGATGCAAATGGCAGTGATGTCAGCGGGTTCGGGAGAATTCGAATGATGAGCAGAACGCATGGAGAGGCCGGTTTCCGTGCCAAGAAGCTCTGTACCCTGAGACCAGTTGAAAGTGCGGTGGGTGTCATCGGACGATGTGATCACGGTGACGCCGACAAGTAGATTTTCAGTTAGATGAAAGTTGTGTATTCGGTTTCTTAGTGAAGAGGGATATATCCAGATTACTCGGCTGACCAAACCTGGGGAAGAAACAAGGAGAATCAGTAAAGATCGAAAATATGTACCCTCTTTGTGTGTGACTTTGTATCGATCGGGTGTTCGCAATACGAAGCTATGCAGTTGGAAGTAAAAACACGTGACAATCGAGAAGGCTGGCTGAGTTGAATGATTCAAAACGGAAACTGGGGGCAAGCAACCCACACCAGGAAACACGTCGGTAGTTCTGTTAAGTAAGCCAGTGCGTAAACTTGTAAGAAAAAAGAGCAGCTATACGACTGCTCGAAAATGACAGGGAAGTATTGTCCGTCTGTTGTTTTTCTTCCGGTCTACTGTGCCGGTTGCGAAAAGCATGGCCTAACCATTTGGTAGCGTTACCACTATGATTTTGCGTGACAGCAAAGATACCTGTCAAAAAGGAAACATCCCAGTCAAAAATATCCGCCACAAAAGTTAAAGTAAACAATTATTAAAGCGTAGAACCATGCAGAATAATGCACGAACTTTGAAAAAATGCCAATTATTCAATCAACTGAGACAAGGAAAATGGGATATTCCATGACCCAGGTACTTACCATGAAGGATGGTGGTCAAGAGATTGTTCGCATGGCTTCTTTCGAGGACAAAGCGAGGGTCGCTCAAGTGTGATGCAAGAGGGAATGGTGAAAGACTGCTGAAATAAATCTTGAAGAACATGAAAAGTCAGCATGAGAATGGGGAAACAGGAGTAGGATATTCACGAAAGACCGCAGTTCTGATAAGGGGACACAATTGGGACTAATATATAACGTGTCTTAATCGGAACCAAAAATACTTGTTCATAAGTAATTGGACTAGGAATTCAAATGAAGCTCATCATTTGAAGGAATCAACGCACAGGTATCGGTTCTTCCAAGTGAAAATAGAACTTTCAAAGCCGTCCTGTTTAGTATGCTACAAGGAGCCGCGTCAAAATTCCAGTGAACCTTCATATTCGTTGCCATGCGGTAAAATTTTTCATAGAATAAGTTCAAAAAGATATTGACTTTTGCTAACCCAGTTCAGTGACTGTGTGCACAAATGTAGGCCGCTTTCTCATCAAAGCGCATGAAAGACAACGAAGCGGATGACTATGTCGGATTATAACCATGAAAGATAACTTGACACCTCGTCGATTCAGTTCTTCACGTATCGCAATATGCGTGTATGTAGCGACAACATAACTGCCAAACTTGCACATCACGAGGATGTAGCAAGGAACACACCACGGATGCCATCATCCAGAAGTAAGGCAGTGAGATACAAGTCCGACAGAATATGTTTGTGGTTGATTGCAGACACGCTATAAAATCTAACGCGAGTGAAAATAGAACAGGAGCCATGTGAAGTCTACCACGGCTTCGGGCGATGATAAGCCCTAAAAGCGGCAAGGTGTCGTGTGGAGGTCACATCAGTGAACTAGATAATTTTTGAGATGTCAAGACAATCAAATAATTGAGTCAAATGATAGAGATAAGACACGCGACCCAACTCTCCACACGGAAAAATCGTTCGTGAGGTAGCACCTGTCCCACACTGTTCTATCATTACCACACACACACACACACGAGCAAGTGATCGAGGCTACCAGGATAAAAGTTAAAATGGATCAGCCTTAGAGGCAACAGATCAGTTAGACCCTAAGGCTTTCATAACCTATTAAGTATCACGATCAATTGTTCATTTGTTCTCCGAGCTTGGCGGTTTTCTCGCAAACGTTTCACCACCATGCGAGGTGGCATCCTCAGTGCAGTGATATGTAGCGTACAAGCTTACTAAATGAATTCTCCCTCCATGATCGACCTGCAGGTGACTTTGAACGTGGCAGTGTCGATTTAGGTCCCGTGACCTCTACCCACTTTCCCCAAGGCTAAAGTCGGCGCCCGAGTTGTTCTGCCTCAAACCGCGTGGCAAAGGGTTCTTTATTTCTTTCTGTCGTAGTGGTTCGTATATTGAATCGATGTCCACGCGCATTTTGCGTTGAGAACCAAGCTTCCAAGAATTCTCTTTCTTTTCTCGCCTCACCCCGTGCCAGGACTTCTGCTTTGCTCCAATCTACATGCAATCTACATGCTCCAATCTACATGCATGCAATCTACATGCATTGAGACTATCGACGATGCATAATGCTTTATACAGGCTCTCTTATGTTCTTGTATCCTTGTTACCAATTTTCTTCCCATTTGGCCAACATAATCCCTTTCGCAATCTCGGCAAGGTATTTTGTATACCACATTGCGTTGTTCATGTGCCTGCAGTTTTTCTTTTTGTTTTGAAAGTGTTTTTCTCAGCGTGGCAGTTGGTTTGTGTGCTACGATGAGATGATGCTGTTTGAATAGTCTAGCTGCCATTTCCGATATGTTCTTCATATAAAACAGAACAACCCGTTTCTCCGTTGTCGTTGTTGTTGTGTTTGTTGTTGCCGTTGTTGTTGTTGTTGTTGTTGTTGTTGTTGTTGTTGTTGTTGTTGTTGTTGTTGTTGTTGTTGTTGTTGTTGTTGTTGTTGTTGTAGGCTGTATGTTGACGTTGTTGTGGTGCAGACACCTTCGGATGAAGTTTCGTGGGTATCTGTTGAGTTGGAAACATTTAAGTAGGTGTTTTTCTTCCATTTGCTTTGCTTCTGTGGTACTACAGTGCGTTTGCACTCTGCGAAACAGTGTCCGTACACAGCTTACTTTGTGGCATTTCGGGTGGTTGCTGTTAAAGTTCAGAGTTTGGTCTGTGTGTGTGCCTTTTCTGTAGACAGATATTTGCAGCTCGCCTTCCATAGTTCTTGTTACTAATACATCCAAGAAAGGGAGCTGCCTTTCCTTCTCCAGTTCCATTGTAAACTGGATCCCTTCCATGGCGTTATTTAATAGCTGTTGTGCGACAACAACAAACACAACAACAACGACAACGGAGAAACGGGTTGTTCTGCCTTATATGAAGAACATATCGGAAATGGCAGCTAGACTATTCAAACAGCATCATCTAATCGTAGCACACAAACCAACTGCCACGCTGAGAAAAACGCTTTCAAAACAAAAAGATAAACTGCAGGCACATGAACAACGCAATGTGGTATACAAAATACCTTGCCGAGATTGCGAGAGGGATTATGTTGGCCAAATGGGAAGAAAATTGGTAACAAGGATACAAGAACATAAGAGAGCCTGTATAAAGCATTATGCATCGTCGATAGTCTCAATGCATGTAGATTGCATGCATGTAGATTGGAGCATGTAGATTGCATGTAGATTGGAGCAAAGCAGAAGTCCTGGCACGGGGTGAGGCGAGAAAAGAAAGAGAATTCTTGGAAGCTTGGTTCTCAACGCAAAATGCGCGTGGACATCGATTCAATATACGAACCACTACGACAGAAAGAAATAAAGAACCTTTGCCACGCGGTTTGAGGCAGAACAACTCGGGCGCCGACTTTAGCCTTGGGGAAAGTGGGTAGAGGTCACGGGACCTAAATCGACACTGCCACGTTCAAAGTCACCTGCAGGTCGATCATGGAGGGAGAATTCATTTAGTAAGCTTGTACGCTACATATCACTGCACTGAGGATGCCACCTCGCATGGTGGTGAAACGTTTGCGAGAAAACCGCCAAGCTCGGAGAACAAATGAACAATTGATTCATCAACCCGAGCTACCAGTATTTCGGAACGT